AAACGTTTTTTTTTTTTTTTTTTTTTTTTTGTACCGCTTTTTATTTATTTTTTTGTTACACATATTATTCTCGGCCCTCCCGCGGACATACGATACATACGTCGGTATATTATAACTGCAGCGTTCGGTCGTTATTTCATATTATTATTATTTTTCTATAATAATACTCGCGAGCACATAATATAATATAATTTTTTTTTTCTCCATATCGTTTGTTGTTTTTTTTATTTTGTTATTATTTTTTTATTTTTTTATTACGTCTTCGGTCTTCGTCGCCTTCGTCGTAACGCGCGCAATGATATGAAAAAAAAAAAAAAAAAAACCCGAAAAATTAAATATAATACAAGTACGATAATAACTCAAAAAGACTATAATGCGCACACACCGTCACTGGGTAGGTAAGTATATTATACGTATACGCCGTATACCGTCATATAGGTACCCACTGTGCGCAGAGAGATAAACACCGGCGGCGGCGGCGGCGGTTATCGTGTTTTTATTATTTCTTCCTACCGCCCGCGCGAAGCGCGTGCGTTTTTCTAATTGAAAACCCTCCCCTCGCCGGCTTCGTAAATATAGAGGTACATGTAAATATGTATACATATTTAGGAGCGGGGAACACGAGAGAGCATCGCGGCGACAATGGATATAGCAATAATAATAATGTTATATTTTATACGTCCAAGACGCGCGGTTTATAATATATAATATTATTACGACGCGTCCTCGTCCGCCCGCAAACGGATACGAATTTTTTTTTTTCTCCTCCTCCTTTCTCGCACTCCTTTACCGTTACACCGTAAAGACGGCCGAGGCGATTGCGACAGACGTTTGCACGTACACAATATCGCGCGCGTATATACGTGCAGTAAAAGACGGCGGCGTACAGCTTATTATTATTATTATTATTATTATTATGCGCCATGTATATTATGATACGGCGACTTGTACGGTATTATTACTGTCATTGTGTCGTCGAAACGTCACGTCGCGCCCGTTTAAAAATGTCGTGTCGTTTCCGCGAGTGCTTGCACTCTCGAATAAAACAAAAAAAAATAAATAAATAAATAAAACCCACGTTTATTACAATCACGAGGTCGTTGTATAGCATACGCGTAATTTAATATGTGTACGTAATTAATGCATTTACCAAACTAGATATCTAACTGCCGTATCGCATTTTAACGATTTTTCGGTCGAAGCCGCGCGGAAGCCATTTAATCCGGGGCCTTATCTTTGTGATAATTGTGATAACTGTTGTATCTACAGTATTTTTACCGCCGTGACCGAGACCGCGGTTATCAATCTTATTGCACGCCGTACAGCTGGAGATCTACTTGGGTGTCGGAAAAATGATAAGGAAACCGTAGCCACGGCGGCCTGTAACAATACCGACTTCGAAAAAAGAAAAAAATCCGCCGTATCCGGGCTTAAGCTCGTCCTAACGGGAATTTTAAAACCTAAAACATTTAGCCGCTGATTGTACATAAAAGGGTATAGGGGTATTCCATAAGATGAATGGGAAAATAAATGTCGGCAGGTCACATTTAGAAATAGAAAAGTCGATAATGCACAAGAGCCGTAACACGAAATGACGGTAAAATCATCCGAATTACGGATTGAAAATGCACGTCTTATCACCAGTTATCGAAATTTGGTCATTACCGTCTAAATATATTGATCGATGAAACATCTAGATGACTGACTGTTCGATATATTGAAAACCGTACTAAATATAAGAAATCGGCAGGTACAAATATCAAGAAAGAGAACCGAATTGATTGAACCGTGAAAAAATTTTATTCCATTCATTTATTTATTTTTCTGCAAATGTAAAATAAATGAAATTTCCAACTATCCGGCAAATTGTTTATTATTGCAGAATCGAAATTAATTTTTCTCGCTAGCTAGTGAAGGTGGTTAACGACTCCCTCTATCGACAGCCTTGGACGGAATATTAGTTTAAATACAATATGGTGTTGAAATTTTCGATTTCCGCCAACCCGTTGACGAGATATTCCATTTTTAAGTTTAGACAGAGAGAGAGTGTATAGTAGAGCATCATATTGTTCGTGTGGCGGCACAGCACGTGACGTTTGAATAGTGTCTTCGCTTCGTTACTATTTTTAAGGGCGAATTTAAGAACGACAAAAAGTAATGTGGTAATGTAACACTTTTGGGTGTCACTTGACGGTTCACGAGTCGTAGAAAAAAAAAAAAAATTACCAAAAGAAGATAATACGCTATTCGAAATATCGCAACCATCATATTTTCGTGACGGGACAACCTGTACAGGCACACCGGCGGTCATATTATTATACAACTCTCCTGCACTCTTTTCGACAGTCACCGAACACGCATATACGTATAATAAAACTAACCGATGGTATACCTTACCGCTATTGTGTGTATACCACAAACCGATCGTCCATTAAAAAAGCAATAATAAGAAAACTGTTCTATTCGTACCGTACCTGCAGTATATGCGTGTGTATAGCCGCCGCGCACAATATCGGTACAAACGGCGCGGTCAAACTCTTTGTTAATTTTTTACGATACCGCGGCAACACAATAACGATACACATTTCGGACATTTGACAGGGACCGATGACAAAAATAAACACCGGCATTAGTACACGAATGTTATAATATCCATGTCTCTATTCCGCTGGCTATACACAGTGCCGTCCCTAGGGGGGGGGGTGGCAAGCGGTGCGCAAATTATGTATGCCGAATATCAATTTATCTACATACAAACAATCATAGGTTTTGATCGTCTCAAAAGTGCGTGAATTGCGACCAGCGTATTGTCGACGAAAATCAAGATTGTATCAATTATACGTAGCTAAACAGTAGCTGTGTTTATATTTATAATACATGGATAATAAATAGTTAGTAGTATAGTATAGTAAAATCTGTCGGCGTCATTAAAAGGGAATAAAAAAATTCTCCAAAATATAATATGATTTACTTAAAAATTACACAAACAGTGATAATGCCCGTTTTAGCCGTTCGTTAAGTTTAACTACAGGGAATATTAAGAAAATAATGACTTCCTCAATGGACCAAAAACAGATAAAAAAATCCTTCAAGAACGTTCCTATGAAGTTTTCGAATCAAAAATTGTTTGCAGACAAACAAAAATAAACACATACACATACAGACACGTCATAATAAAACCGATACAATCCTCGCTTCACTCGGATTTCAAAAAGTAAACGTTATTACACAATGGATAGTGACGTTAGGTCGCTGAATTGAAAAAACTTTCCAAAATCCAAAAAGTTTGAGAACCGCTGACGCACAGAGAACAGTCATCCGGTGTAATATGTACGCGATGAAACGAGCTCTAATGAAATTCTCATAAAACACTATCTATTTATCAAATTAAAATTTTTTTTTTTGACAGTTTTCTGATTTCCCGTAGCGTCGCCATACGAACAATTGAATCGATCTCAATAATTATTTTTATCGTACCCACGATCGAAATCGTTTGGACCGTTCAGGTTACTTGCAATGAGATAATATTGCGACATTCGTATGTAAGTTGAAACATCGATAAGTTGAGCATAATGTAGTATTTTTTTTAAAAAATCGATTTAGGATATAATTTTGATGAAATCGTAAATATTACGGCACTTCAAGGTATTAGCTTAGAATTGTGTTCCGTCGGCAATGATTTATATCGTTGCTTAATGATATAAATAAAATAATTTTCTGTATCCTGCGTTCCCAACTTCCACCTAAAACAGTGGCAGTGTCAGCAAATATTTTATTATAATTATTACATCCATATCAACAAGATAAACCAGAAAAAAATGAAAATAATTCCATTGGTTGACATTAAAATGTCAAAAAAATATAAGGCCACTCTTTAGATGTTAAATATAACAAAAAAGTAGACCATCCTGTTGTTCTAGCCTTCCTATTGTTTTGAATGTCAAGTAAAAAGTAAAGTTTCATTAAGATCAAAAAAAAAAAAATAGATATTTACAGAAAGCCAATATTGGCAAATTGAATTTGAACTTGTTTGTTATATATAAACAATAATTCCACAATTATCGTTTCTATGGTACCCTGCGTATAAAAATCTATAACGACTGTCTAATAAACAGTATATTTTTGCAACAAGATATTGAAAGTTATTTTTTGTACATTATAAAGCATAATATATACAAGAAAAATATTTTCAAGTCCTAAAACGCTTTGTGAACTATAATTAAACAATGGCAAATGATAAGAAATTATTGTTGAACATAGAAAAAGCAAAAGATGCTGGATTACAATTTGTTCAAGAAAATCTTGAAATATTGAATGAAAGGTCAAAGGTTACGTTTTTGTATCATATCGACGAAGGTGTACAAGTAAAACTTTCTATTATCCGTTATCTTACCAACTCCACCAACAATCTAGAACTAACCACCAACCTAAGAAAGAATCAAACCCGTGAAGAAAAAGGATTTTCTACCGACATGGTTAGTTACAACCAGCCCCTTCTAAATACATCCACCAATCTAGATTCTCACATCGATACCACAGTAAATAATCTCCCGGATAAAATTATTCATGAGGTTAACTTTCCTGCTGATATCGTTCCCTACAACAAGCCCCCTCTGAATACATCTGCCAATCAGCAGACTCGTCCCGATTGTTATGAAAATATTAATCAGAATCATTTTGTTGAACAACACATTTTTCCAACTTCAGATAGAGCCGATTACCGCTCCCCCTCTCAACAGTCAATCGCAATCATTCAGCAACACGTTTTAAATACCTCACCCGTTCTGAAAGATCTTCAAGATACTAAAGAAAAAAGGCTGGCGACATCTGTCCCTGCCTTAAAAACTCTTCCAATTACTATCAAAGATAACAATAATAGTAAAACCCTTCAACATGTAACCTCAAATGCCAAAATGAGTACTACGAATGATCCTCCACCCAATATCTCCAAAAAAAACATCTGTCCCAGTACCATCAAAAAAAATTTTCTATCTAAAATCCCAATACGAGTATCCTTACAAAACCATTTAAAAGTTATTCAAACGCATAAAAATATGAGTGAAATCTCAAAAAGTGTGCCTTTTAATGCCAAAATGAGTACTACGAACGAACCTCTACCCAATATCTCCAACAAGAACATATGTCCTAGAACTATCAAAAAATGTCTCCCATCTAAAATCCCAATACGAGTATCCTTTCAAAGTCGTTTAAAAGTTTTTCAAACGCATTCACAATTTACTCCAAATACCTCCTCTATCCGGCAACCTCTTCTGGATACTTCAGAGAATAATCCAACAAAACAAACCCGTGGACATAAATATTTTCCTGTCGATATCGTTCCCATTAATAATATTCATAAAAATATGAGTAAAATCCCAAAAAATGTGCCTTTTAATGCCAAAATGAGTACTNTATCAAAAAATGTCTCCCATCTAAAATCCCAATACGAGTATCCTTAAAAAATCTTTAAAAATTATTCAAACGCATTCGCAATCTACTCCAAGTACCTCCTCTATCCGGCAACATCTTCTGGATACTACAGAAAATGATCCAACAAAACAAACCCGTGAACATAAATATTTTCCTGTCGATATCGTTCCCATTAATAATATTCATAAAAATATGAGTAAAATCCCAAAAAATGTGCCTTTTAATGCCAAAATGAGTACTACGAACGAACCTCTACCCAATGTCTTCAACAAGAACATATGTCCTAGAACTATCAAAAAATGTCTCCCATCTAAAATCCCAATACGAGTATCTTTTCAAAGTCGTTTAAAAGTTATTCAAACGCATTCACAATTTACTCCAAATACCTCCTCTATCCGGCAACCTCTTCTGGATACTGCAGAAAATAATCCAACAAAACAAACCCGTGGACATAAATATTTTCCTGTCGATATCGTTCCCATTAATAATATTCATAAAAATATGAGTAAAATCCTAAAAAATGTGCCTTTTAATGCCAAAATGAGTACTACGAACGAACCTCTACCCAATATCTCTATTGAAAATATTTGTCCTTTTACTACCAAAGAATATCCCCCATCTGAAATCCTAATACCTTAATCCGGTCCAATTCAAACTTACTACAAATCCGCTCTAAATTCTCGCGAGAAACAATCACGTGAAGGATATAAGGACATTTATTGAGTGATACTATCGCCGAATACGGGCATGGCTCTGAGTAAATTTTAAGTACTACTTATTATACAATATGCCTTCATTGTCCTTTAACTAGGACTTTTTTTTTTAAATTTTATAAACATTAAAGAACTTTTAATGTCTATAAAAGATTAACATGTTTACATGTAGGTAGCAAAGAATGAAAAATCACTTGCGTATCTTTATTTAAGTGAAAACTTAATATTAAATAAATGTTGTTTCAAATCGAGTTAATGGTTTAAATATAAATCACTCATGGTGCACGGCAAGAACAGTATAAAGTCCGATTTTGTTTTTTAATTATATAAATAATGTTTTGGGGTTGTGCTTAACTCTTATGCTTAGAAATAACAAATAACTTTTATTGAGCAAACTTAAATTTTATGTTACTAAACATATCTGTTGATGAATTTAAATTGCAACATTTTGATAAATTATTTTATATGAATGTGTTCCTGTTATTATATAAGCACACGCAATTATTGACCACAGTGAACTATACTTATAACATGAAATATAAAACTAATACAAATATTGTTTCGTTTGGTTTTTCAAACTTTTGGATTTTAATGCACACTAGTTTACTCAAATATTTATTATAAATTGAACACTAATTAATATAATTTTTATAGATTAAAATATTTTACATTTTTTCGTACAGGTAGTATACATTTTTGTAATTTTTGATTCAAACATTTAAATCTCTTTTAGTAAACATCCTCATAATAAATTATGCTGGATTATAACACCTAATTTATTATGTTTTTGAATCTTTAACTCTATTCCATGCTTATTTCCTAAAATTACAAAGGCAAACTTAAAAATAAGGTCTAAGTCGTTGTGTCGCAGCATGAAGCGCTAGGTGCAATTCGGCAATACCATTGCCATTTGGTTAAAATTAACGATGAAAAATCTATGGATGTTAAAAACATTCGTAAGTGGTACCATGAATTCCTCTCCGGTCGCGCAAGTGTCCCGACGAGGAGAGACATGTCTCTCTTGTCTTTCTAGTCTAATCTCTCTCGTCTCTCTCTTCTCTCGTCACTCTTGTTTCTCTTGTCATTCTTGCCTCTTTCTCTTGGACGGCCTGCCATTTCTCTCTTCGTCGTGAATCGGGTAATCGGAGAACAACTCGTGGCACCACTTTAACGTTTTTAAACGTTTTTAAAGTAATTTTTCTGGGTGGAAAACTTCCTAAAAATATTCGATTTAAAATGCCAGGTGCCATTCATCACGCGTGGCCGATGGCCAAAGCTATTTATAGCTTGAAAATATATTTATTTCGCGAACAATTTCATTTAACACCAAAAGAAGAAAGTGCTTTGAGAAGTATTTGCGTTTTTATTGTACGAATATACATAAAAGTATGGTTCAACTCACCATCTTCAATCAAAGCACCATTACAAGACTTGAATTTTATAAAAAGTCTTTTACATTATACCTCTATAGACAAAGATATATCTCAGATTGCAGTTAAAAAGTTTTGTGGTCACTTATGGTATTTATCTGCAGAATTATGTGCTTTTGCTTTTTTCGATGAAGCTGTGCCACTGGAGATAAAAAGAAAAATGGTTCATGCTCTANATCAGAATTAATTTCAAATGCACAACGTTTAACTATATCGCCAAAAAATGCAAATGAGTTATTAGAAAAGGAAATCGATGATTTTATATGTGTTAATACTAAAACACTATTTAAAAGATTTTCCATCAACACCATTTTTTTGAATGAAGATCCAATTAATTGGGAAAATAATGAAGAATAGTCTAAAGCTTTGTTAGTTATAAAAAATATTCCAGTAATAAACGATGTAGCAGAAAGAGGAGTAAAAGTTATAGAGGACTATAATGACAAAATTACCAAAAACGAATCTCAAAAACAATACCTTCTACAAGTTGTTAGTGATTACCGCGAAAAATATCCTGACCACAAAAAAGAAACACTTACTGCACTATCACAATAATTTGGTTTTATCATTTATAATTAAAATATATTACAGATAAAATAATTAGGTAACAATGTTATTATAATTGTAAATTGTTATTATAAATAATTATTAGTTGTATTTTAAGTTTCCTTAAATATTAAAATGTTTAAGATTATTCTTGTTTTTACCTTGCAATTAAAATATTTAAAAAATAATATATTTGCAAAATATTATATATGAAACAAATTGTAGAAAATGTAGTGTTCTATCAATTATATTTTAACAAATTTTTTGTAAGTATTTTTTTCCTGGAGTTATATTAAAAAAAAATTTTAAAAATTGATAATATTGAAAATTTTCTATTTTTGTAAATTTAGAGCTGTTGTGGTGCACAGGTTAATATTAATGAATTTGCCTGAAACTTTTTTTTTAGTAATCGAACCTTTTTAGGGGGGGTAACCTGAAAAAAATCACAAGCGAAAAATAAGGACCACCCTAATGAATATCAACAAACTCTGTGATTGGCTGTAGCTCTCGACATCGGTCGTTTTCTCGACGCGTTCGGGCGTTAGTGCTGTCGTGTAAACAGCTAGTCGGTCATAATGACAATAATTTCTGCACGTTCGCAATACGCGGCTAAATGACAATAATTTCTGCTCGTTCGCAATACGCGGCTAAATATAATAAATACCAACAGCTGTGAATTAAATAGGCTGTCATTAATATATACTATAAAAAAAATAAATGGCCATTCACGTATCACGGTTGAATAGGTACGCTGGGTACGGAGTGTTGTGAGAATACAGCTCGCTCTGTATATCCGTTGTTTGGCCGGTCCGTTGATAACAGTGCTTGCCACCAGCGAAAACAACAAGACATTTACGTTGTACATTTTCCAAACTAATATGGAATAGAGTATGGTAATCAAGAGAAATTTAAACTTAGATAATTCATTCTTCAATTTTTCTGAATGATTGGCAACAAGATATTAGTAAAAACAATTGATTATAATATTGGAATATGGTAAAGTTATGTAACAGATAATTATATTATTTAAAAACATGCGATTTACATAGGTAAATAATAATGACAACATTTTAAATAATAAAATATATTACACAAGGATTATAAAATTATTTTCAAATTTCCAAGTTATTGTACCCAAATTTCTATACTCCTGAGGATTTTAATACTTAAAAAATAAAAAATATTACCCCTTTCAAATAGATTCATTATATAAAATGAATGATAAAATGACAAGTAGAGTTAAATTAAGTAAAGGGGATAAGTATATAAAAAAAATATGATTCATAAATGGTTATTTCCATCAAAAATAATACCTGAACATAAAATATTTAGTTTATTAAATTATACGAAATAACCTATAAAATATAAATATAGTTATAACCTTAATGCATTTTTTAAAAAGATTATACTTTATTGCTGCTGAAGAAGTAGTTGAATAAATAATTTTCATAATGAAACACAAGATGTTATACATTTTGTTGCTAAAAAAATAGAAAAATTAATCGATACCTCTCGAGGGTTTGAATACCTGTTTCATTTTATTTGTAGCAATTTTACCAAAGAAAGTAACTAGAAGATCTGAACTTGTTAATATTTTGTTATATAGTAAATTTATGCCTGAGATGCATTGCCTGGTTATAATTATCTTGGATCGTTTACAAAAATATAGAACCCAATAAATAAATTAGATGAAGCACTATTAAAAATACCATTAAAAAAAGAAAACATAAAAAAACATTGGAAAAATAAACTGAACAATATAATGAGGAAATAGAAAAAATCCATAAAATGTTAAATTGAAAATAAGTTTTAAAATAAAAAGAAAACTTCATGGCATTCAAGTAACGAAAAAAAATTTAAAAAATCATGTCATTAACTAATTTCTATATGATAAAAGCCGGTGAAAAATTTAAATTTTAGAAAGTGTTTTATGATAGATGAATTACTAATAAAATCTTAAAGAATTTAATTGTGATAAATTAAATTAAAATAGTACTAATCAAAATGGATTTCACTGGTTTACTGGAATTGAACAAAAAAATTTAAAACTATGATTCTTATAGGAATGCTAACAAAATGTTCCTAAGGAATTAACAAAATATTTAGAATAAATAATCTTAAAATTACAATTTATAGATTACAAGAGTATAATGATCATTGCCAAAATTTACCTATACGAAGAAAAATGTAAAATCATTCAATATTTTTCAATTGTATTAATAAATACTCAATCTGTTACATTGAGCCTACAATCAGTGTGCATTGAGATTCAAAATTTGTATTACTAAACGAAATAATGTTTGTATTAGTTTTATACATCATGTTATAAGTATAGTTCAC